GATGATTTTAGCTACCTTTTCCTCCTGCTGCTGCTCCTGCTCCTGCTGCTCCTTCTGTTCAAATGGCAGCTCCCGCATGGGAAAACACCATGGCAGTGAAGGACGGAAAGGCAGCAAAATTGCGCCCAAAAAGTGCTTAATGTAACTTCTGAAACCAATCGAAAAGAATGAATTTTAGCAATTTTTTTCTCCTCCTGCTGCTGCTGCTGCTTCTGCCCCTGCTGCTCCTTCTGTTCAAATGGCAGCTCCCGGATGGGAAAACACCATGGCAGTGAAGGACGGAAAGGCATCAGAGTTGCGCCCAAAAAAGTGCCTAATGTAACTTCTGAAACCCATAGAAAAGGATGATTTTAGCCACTTTTTCCTCCTGCTGCTGCTGCTGCTCCTGCTCCTGCTGCTCCTTCTGTTCAAATGGCAGCTCCCGGATGGGAAAACACCATGGCAGTGAAGGACGGAAAGGCAGCAAAATTGAGCCCAAAAAGTGCCTAATGTAACTTCTGAAACCCATAATAGAAAAGGATAATTTTAGCCACTTTTTCCTCCTCCTGCTGCTGCTTCTGCTCCTGCTGCTCCTTCTGTTCAAACGGCAGCTCCCGGATGGGAAAACACCATGGCAGGGAAGGACGGAAAGGCAGCAAAACTTCGCCCAAAAAGGGCTTAATGTAACTTCTGAAACCAATCGAAAAGAATGATTTTAGCAATTTTTTCCTCCTGCTGCTGCTGCTGCTTCTGCTCCTGCTGCTCCTTCTGTTCAAATGGCAGCTCCCGGATGGGAAAACACCATGGCAGTGAAGGACGGAAAGGCATCAGAATTGCGCCCAAAAAAGTGCCTAATGTAACTTCTGAAACCCATAGAAAAGGATGATTTTAGCTACCTTTTCCCTCCTCCTGCTGCTGCTGCTCCTGCTCCTGCTGTTCAGAAGTTACATTAGGCACTTTTTTGGGCGCAAATTTGCTGCCTTTCCGTCCTTCACTGCCATGGTGTTTTCCCATCCGGGAGCTGCCATTTGAACAGAAGGAGCAGCAGGTTTTCCCATCCGGGAGCTAGCATTTGAACCCATAGAAAAGGATTTTAGCTACCTTTTCCCTCCTCCTGCTGCTGCTGCTGCTCCTACTCCTGCTGCTCCATCTGTTCAAATGCTAGCTCCCGGATGGGAAAACCTGCTGCTCCTTCTGTTCAAACGGCAGCTCCCGGATGGGAAAACACCATGGCAGTGAAGGACGGAAAGGCAGCAAAATTGCGCCCAAAAAGTGCCTAATGTAACTTCTGAAACCCATAGAAAAGGATGATTTTAGCTACCTTTTCCTCCTGCTGCTGAGCTCCCGGATGGGAAAACACCATGGCAGTGAAGGACGGAAAGGCAGCAAAATTGCGCTCAAAAAGTGCTTAATGTAACTTCTGAAACCAATCGAAAAGAATGATTTTAGCAATTTTTTTCTCCTCCTGCTGCTGCTGCTTCTGCTCCTGCTGCTCCTTCTGTTCCTGCTGCTCCTTCTGTTCAAATGGCAGCTCCCGGATGGGAAAACACCATGGCAGTGAAGGACGGAAAGGCATCAGAATTGCGCCCAAAAAAGTGCCTAATGTAACTTCTGAAACCATAGAAAAGGATGATTTTAGCCACTTTTTCCTCCTGCTGCTGCTGCTTCTGCTCCTGCTGCTCCTTCTGTTCAAACGGCAGCTCCCGGATGGGAAAACACCATGGCAGTGAAGGACGGAAAGGCAGCAAAATTGCTCCCAAAAAGTGCCTAATGTAATTTCTGAAACCCATAGAAAAGGATGATTTTAGCTACCTTTTCCTCCTGCTGCTGCTCCTGCTCCTGCTGCTCCTTCTGTTCAAATGGCAGCTCCCGGATGGGAAAGCACCATGGCAGTGAAGGACGGAAAGGCATCAGAATTGCGCGCACAAAAGTGCCTAATGTAACTTCTGAAACCCATAGAAAAAGATGATTTTAGCTACCTTTTCCCTCCTCCTGCTGCTGCTGCTTCTGCTCCTGCTGCTCCTTCTGTTCAAATGGCAGCTCCCGGATGGGAAAACACCATGGCAGTGAAGGACGGAAAGGCATCAGAATTGCGCCAAAAAAAGTGTCTAATGTAACTTCTGAAACCCATAGGAAAGGATGATTTTAGCAACTGTTTCCTCCTGCTGCTGCTGCTTCTGCCCCTGCTGCTCCTTCTGTTCAAATGGCAGCTCCGGATGGGAAAACACCATGGCAGTGAAGGACGGAAAGGCAGCAAATTTGCGCCCAAAAAAGTGCCTAATGTAACTTCTGAGACCCATAGAAAAGGATGCCTTTAGCTACCTTTTCCCTCCTCCTGCTGCTGCTGCTCCTGCTCCTGCTGCTCCCTCTGTTCAAACGGCAGCCCCCGGATGGGAAAACACCATGGCAGTGAAGGACGGAAAGGCAGCAAAATTGCGCCCAAAAAGTGCCTAATGTAACTTCTGGAACCCATAGAAAAGGATGATTTTCACTACTTTTTCCCTTCTCCTGCTGCTGCTGCTGCTCCTGCTCCTGCTGCTGCCTCTGTTCAAATGCTAGCTCCCGGATGGGAAAACCTGCTGCTCCTTCTGTTCAAACGGCAGCTCCCGGATGGGAAAACACCATGGCAGTGAAGGACGGAAAGGCAGCAAAATTGCGCCCTATTTTAGCTGCCTTTTCCTCCTGCTGCTGCTCCTGCTCCTGCTGCTCCTTCTGTTCAAATGGCAGCTCCCGGATGGGAAAACCCCATGGCAGCGAAGGACGGAAAGGCAGCAAAATTGTGCCCAAAAAGTGCTTAATGTAACTTCTGAAACCAATCGAAAAGAATGATTTTAGCAATTTTTTCCTCCTCCTGCTGCTGCTTCTTTTGCTGCTGCTGCTTCTGCTCCTGCTGCTCCTTCTGTTCAAATGGCAGCTCCCGGATGGGAAAGCACCATGGCAGTGAAGGACGGAAAGGCAGCCAAATTGCACCCAAAAAGTGCCTAATGTAACTTCTGAAACCCATAGAAAAGGATGATTTTAGTCTACATTTTCCTCCTGCTGCTGCTCCTGCTCCTGCTGCTCCTTCTGTTCAAATGGCAGCTCCCGGATGGGAAAACACCATGGCAGTGAAGGACGGAAAGGCAGCAAAATTGCGCCCAAAAAGTACTTAATGTAACTTCTGAAACCAATCGAAAAGAATGATTTTAGCAATTTTTTCCTCCTCCTGCTGCTGCTTCTGCTCCTGCTGCTCCTTCTGTTCAAATGGCAGCTCCCGGATGGGAAAACACCATGGCAGTGAAGGACGGAAAGGCATCAGAATTGCGCCCAAAAAAGTGCCTAATGTAACTTCTGAAATCCAAAGAAAAGGATGATTTTAGCTACCTTTTCCCTCCTCCTGCTGCTGCTGCTCCTGCTCCTGCTGCTCCCTCTGTTCAAATGCTAGCTCCCGGATGGGAAAACCTGCTGCTCCTTCTGTTCAAACGGCAGCCCCCGGATGGGAAAACACCATGGCAGTGAAGGACGGAAAGGCAGCAAAATTGCGCCCAAAAAAGTGCCTAATGTAACTTCTGAAACCCAAAGAAAAGGATGATTTTAGCTACCTTTGCTTCCTGCTGCTGCTGCTCCTGCTCCTGCTGCTCCCTCTGTTCAAATGCTAGCTCCCGGATGGGAAAACCTGCTGCTCCTTCTGTTCAAATGGCAGCTCCCGGATGGGAAAACACCATGGCAGTGAAGGACGGAAAGGCAGCAAATTTGCGCCCAAAAAGTGCCTAATGTAACTTCTGAAACCCATAGAAAAGGATGATTTTAGCTGCCTTTTCCTCCTGCTGCTGCTCCCGCTCTCCTTCTGTTCAAATGGCAGCTCCCGGATGGGAATACACCATGGCAGGGAAGGACGGAAAGGCAGCAAAATTGCGCCCAAAAAGTGCTTAATGTAACTTCTGAAACCAATCGAAAAGAATGATTTTAGCAATTTTTTCCTCCTCCTGCTGCTGCTGCTTCTGCTCCTGCTGCTCCTTCTGTTCAAATGGCAGCTCCCGGATGGGAAAACACCATGGCAGTGAAGGACGGAAAGTCAGCAAAATTGCGACCAAAAAAGTGCCTAATGTAACTTCTGAAACCAATAGAAAAGGATGATTTTAGCTACCTTTTCCCTCCTCCTGCTGCTGCTGCTCCTGCTCCTGCTGCTCCCTCTGTTCTAATGCTAGCTCCCGGATGGGAAAACACCATGGCAGCGAGGGGCGGTAAGGCATCAAAATTGCGCCCAAAAAATGCCTAATGTAACTTCTGAAACCCAAAGAAAAGGATGATTTTAGCTACCTTTTCCCTCCTCCTGCTGCTGCTGGCGCTGGTGTTGGTGGTGGTGGTGCTGCTGCTGCTATTGCTGAAAGAAGAGTACCAAAAGCACCTCCCGGTGTGGCAAAGCTACCAAATCCACACTGTTCACAGGAAAAGTCCAAACACAGGGGCACTGCGGCCGTCAATTTCAAATGGCAAATGGGACAATGTCTTATCACAGGAAAAGTCCAAACACAGGGGCATTGCGGCCGTCAATTTCGAATGGCAAATGGGACAATGTCTTATTCCCTGGCTTGCGTCTGCCGGGGTCGGCGGATTCCCTGGCGCGCTCCCCCTTGCGTCTGCCAGGGTCTGCTGCTGCTTCTGCTGCTGCTGCTGCTGCTGCGGCTGCTGCTGCGGCTGCTGCTGCTGCTGCCACTGCACAAAAACACAGCCACACGGCCCTGTAGTAGTAGTAGTAGTCGTCGTCGTCGTCGTCGGCGTCGTCGTCGTCGTCGTCGTAGTAGTAGTAGTAGCAGGAGTAGTAGCAGTAGTAGTAGTAGTAGCAGCAGTAGCAGTAACAGTAGTAGTAGTAGTAGTAGTAGTGCAGTACATCTTCTTCCCTTACGCGCTCCCCCTTGCGTCGGCCGGGGTCGGCGGATATATACACATTATCGTATAGTATAATATATATATACACTTACATACATACATACATAGCCAAGATACCCCATATTTATTCCAATCAGTTCACCTGTGCCTCACGGGGGGTTTGCAGCTTCTAAACAACGCTTCGGGTCGCGACCCGGGCGCGCTGCCGGGCGCTGCCGGCTGTCGTGATGCCGTCCTCGCGAGAGGCGCCGTTGTTTTGGTGTGGAAAAATGCTTGGATATATCAAACAAAAACAAGATGGGTCGACAAGTTAACATGGTATGAAATGTTTGGTTGACACATCTTAAACATGACAGTTGTCTTTTCTTGTTTTTCGTCAATGTCATAATGACAGTGGATTGTATGTTTCAGTGGATTGTCGTCCAATGTTTGGTGGCAGGACATGTCGCCTGAGACGAGGCATTGGGATTCCGTGGTGGAAAGATTGTTGGGCAAACCCCCAAAGATTACCCTACAATAGTTCTACATTGCCAATCAAACTTCCAAGCATTTCACACATGAGCAGTCCATTTTATTGGTTTGATCACCTTTCTTGTTGGCTTCATCAGTTCAGCCCCCAATGTTTGTTGCTTGCATTCCCATTGTTGGTTTGATTCAACCACCAAATGGATTTTCCATAGTTCCAATCTATCTATATATCCAGTACATGGATATATATATATACATATATATATACCGTGGCTATTGTATACTGGTAGATATACATGGGAAAAAATGAAAGAGGAACGTTCGAAAATGCTTTGGAACAAGATCACAAATTATGGAAACTTGCAAGAAGCCGTCAGTTTTGAGTATCGCCGTCACATGCCCACGGTTTCACCCATGTGGCCCATGTGCCATGAGTCTGGCGAAGCATGACCTCCGTTTTCGAGGCCGCTACAGCGACGGCGTGAACGACGCCAATTGGGGTGGGGGAACCTGAGCTCAGCGAATGCCAAAAATCTCCTTGTAGTCTTAGGGGGACTGAGCCACTTTGAAACCAGAACTCTTCGAGCATAACGGGCGAAGCACTAGAGGAATTTTTGGATGATTTGAGTCCGGGGATTTACCCACCAGGACGAGAAGGTTAGCAGTTCCCCAGCCATTCCCAGTTGGGAGAAACCAAAACGGTGATTTCATGTTGGTATCTAAACCATCCCGAATTTTACCATAAGTGGGTGCTACAGACCACCAAAACATGGGTGGTTTATTATTGCTTTATTAACATTACAAGATTCATCATTGAGTCACACACATGTTTCGACGGGCCTGAACCTTGTGCAAATTTAGCTGGCCAATTTTAATGGATTTCCTGTAAACGTTCCCGGGGACTCAAGCCAGTTATCTTTGTTGAATCCTGACTTTTCACGCTGATCTCCTCCAAGTTATTTCTCTTGGTTCAATTCCCATGTTTGTTGCTCTCAAATTATATCATGTTTGCTGGTTAAGCGACGATTTTTGCGAGTAAAATCCAGGTTTTTGGTGGTTTTTGCACGTCCTAATTTGTGCTGTTGACATTTCCCCGCTGCTGCTTGATTCCAGTGATGCCACAGCAAATTTGTGCTGGTCAAAGCGTAGTGTTTTGCTGCTTCTATCCGGTTCTCGCTGGTCAACCACCCATTTGTTGCTGCTTGAATTCCGTTTTATTCATATTTTACTCCATTGTCTTCCCCTTTTGAATTGGGTCAAAAAGATGGTTAAAAAGGGTTTTATGAACCATAACCATATTGATTCATTGCGTTTTACCATTGTTTTCCGCTTGTTAACCATATTAATTGGGTTTTATCCATGGTTAAACTACCACCTTTGTTCTGAAGATGCAGGCTGGCTGTGTGCTTGTTGGGCCTTGTAGCGACCGAGGCACGTGGTGTAGTCGCCATGGGGACATCATGGGGATATCATGGGGCTGTCATGGGGGAAGAATGCAGTTTTGTCTGGGGGGGGATGTTGGGAATTGTTGGGATATGAAGGGATATAATTATATGATATTATATGATATAATGCGATATACAAGAATTTGGGGGCCGAGGACAGCTCCGAGCTAGTTCACAGATGTAGCCCAGGGAAGTGCTACTTCAAAGGGCCATTGGCTCAGTCATTCAGTCAATTATGCCGTCAGAAATTCAGCTATTCAGCCATTCAATCACCAATCATGCTGTCATTCAGCATTCATGACAGTCTTACTGTTTGCAAACTTCCTGCGCAACCGCCTGGCATCATGTTGTATGGCCTGCTTTAATGGGGATTGTGGACTCGATCCAACTTGGGATTCAGCAGATTCCCTACTAGTGGAGATGATTCAGTGAGAAATGGCGAGCGATGGGCATTGCCGGCCGCTCCTGAGACGTTGCAAAGTAGGTGAGTCAGAAGTCTCAAAACATCCTCTCACGAAGTCTCAAGAAGTCGTACTTCCTCGGGGTCTGAAACTTTACTTGAAATGAGCCATCAAGAATACCCTGGTGATTGGTTTAAATAAGGACTTATGCTGTCTAATTTATTGCTGGTTATGATAACCGGAACCTATCGATGATGGTGATATAACGGTGAAGTGAAAAAAGGGTCTGATGTCTGCGGAGGATATCTATGACATTTTCAGCGAATGTGTTGGCGGATTCAAGCAGTTGCGGGTATCCCATACTGAGTATCCCATATCCCCAACTGGAGACAAACACATCGAACAATTCATCATCATGTCATAGGCGTTCTTTTCCCATTGCCTCAAATTCAACCAGGGAAATGCCAAAAAAAGATCGGATCCATCCATTTTTCCAGGCCTGGGTTGGCGTGTCCAGAACTCAGAGGCTGAGACGGCTGAGACATGGTGCAATGAGCCAAGTCCTTTCGCATCCAACTTCCAGTGACATGATCGATACTTGGTCAAAACCTAACGCGGGACCTGGCAATAACTATCAATCTCAAGCGAACCACCCGTATTTTCCGATTTTCGTGTGGTTGGACTCCACTTTTTTCTCAGCGATCTATAGTGATCTCACCCTGGTTGCAGGCCGAAAACAACTGGCATCGCCCTGAGAGCGGAGCTGTCGACGGCCCAAGCCTTAGGGCCGAATGGTCATAGTCCTAGACGTTGGATGTCAACTTATGGACAGATGCAGTGGGAAAAACAGATTCTGAAGCGATTTCCATCTACTCAAATCTTCCATCATGTGTACTCTCTCTCTCTATAATTAATGGGGCTTTCTGAAACTGGGCGAAGCCCCAAGTCACCATGGCTGGATGGCTATAGTCATCCAGTCATCCCTGGGATGAACTGAGGTGAGTCCAGGAGATCGCTTCGTGGGGTGGATCCGACACCCAGTGTCTCGGTGATCAAACGCGAGTTTCCAGCGGCTTTGGAGGAGCCGATGATTTTGCAAAACAGCCATCTGGTTTACCCTCTGGTAATGACTAACATAGCTATTGAAAATGGCCATTTATAGTGAGTTTTCCCATTAAACATGGTGATTTTCCATAGCTATGTTAGTTTACCAGAGGGTACCGTTCTTCAAAAAACGTGGCATCTAGGTTCATGGCGGTCCACCATGAACATAGCCACACTTTGTTTCTGTCGTACTTTGTTCGTCCAAGAAATGGGGTACTGGATACCCCAGCTGGCCGCGTCTCAGTATGTTTCAATCAGGCAAATTACATTCGAAACAATCCTATTCGTGCTCCTCGAATAGGCGGCGTCTCATAAATCCAAGTCAAGTGGAACCTATGTCTTTATTTGGTGTTCTGATTTATCCCGATTTTGTTTGGGAAGTTTATTATATGGGAGGGACATATTTCCAAGTGAGGCGGAGCCATAGCTGCCATGGCTCAGTGTTTCAGGCCTTTTTGCTTTTTTTTTTTACTCCGCAAAATTCCGAATCATCCAGCCAACAACGGTCCCAAAGGAGCTACTTGGAGGGTGCATCCCAGTTAATAAATGGTTCATAACCCATATACAGTCCACATGACTGATGATATTTCCATATAGCCGGAAGGGCTGCCTTGTTGCCGTGTCGCCTCCAGTCATGAAAATCACTGGAAGGATGAGTTTTTCTTTCACTCCCAAGAGCAAGGCGAAAAATGGCATGAGTGTTTTTTTTCCCATAACAAAATCATTTGAACTCTACGTACCATTTAAAAACTACCATACCCAGAAACTCCCAAATGGGTTAATCATTGAGATCCTGGTTCCATTTTTTGAGTGACCATCTCACAGGTCATTTAACCGTTGATAGTGAGGTCCTGACTAGCAGGCAAAAGTTTGACCTCGTGGTGGAGGTGCCGGTTGAGCGACCGGTTGAGTGGTTATAGGGATTCTAGGGGAACATAGTACTTAAAGTAGGGACACTCACTTACTCCAAATAGGGATTGAGACTGGAAATGATGGTGAAACATGGGGCTGCTGAATCCTTCTTGGGAATGATGACCTGACGCATGACCTTGGAGCTGATGGATACCATCTGGTAATTTAATCCACAGGACGAGGGGTTTGCCCCAAACCCCGAGTGCGGAGCCAGCAACCCATGATTGGAACCATCATCACAGTGCCAGTTTTTTTTTCCATTCATACCAACATGCTTGAGACATGGAGTATTGGAACAGTAAATATTGATGCAATGATGTAGTGTATAACCAGAACAAATAACCATACTTCTATTAAGATTTCATTTAGGATATTTAGGATTTACATAAGTTATGAAATCCCCCGGCCCCATGGAACAAATAACCACACTTCTATTAGGGTTTGATTTAGGGATGCATTCAATGTGGAGAAGTGCACATGGCAATGGCAAGATGACTTATGAACACTCCAGACTCGCCAAAAAAGTGAACACCGGGAAAAGGCCGGAAACGCCAATGAAGTCCGCAAAGGTTCACTTTTCCGACGGATTTTTATAAAGGTCAGAAAACACCGCGCCTGCGCAGTGAAATGAGCCTCTTTAAGACGCTAATCATTCCGTTCCGGGCAACCCTCAGTCCTGCACGTAATTTAACATAGCTATGAAAAACTCAATAGGTAAAGCATATGAGATATGGTCAGAATAGACGTATGTATATAGACTATTTTAGTATGGAGGGGTGCAGTTGTGCTGAGAAAGTGCACCAAACCATGTAAAAAGATAGGCCCCCCCCAAAAACGACAACTTGTATACAACCAGATATGATAGTGCATTAAACTTGGTGTACTCCAAGCAATTTTTGTTGTGTACCTTCAGGCAATGGGCAAAATTGACGAAGCAAATTTAACCTGCAGTGCCCGTGTTTCTGCGATTCGTTGCTTTCTGCAGGTAGTTAGTTTTTTTCCCAGGCCCCAGAGCAGTACAAATAAACTAAACTAAATGCGATTGAGTTCTCAAATGCATCAAACATAATGTTTGATCTAATTCTGGATTCCGTTTATGAGCCTTTACTCAATTAAACTTTCTTCTTCTTTAGTTTCCTTTTCCTTTTCCGTTTATGTTTCTTTTAAGACTAAATGCAATTGAATTCTGAATTAAATCAAACTTGATTTTAGATTGTCCTTTCTGAATCAAATTCTGAATTAAATCGATTTGTCCTTTCTTCCTTCCTTTTCTCTTCTTGTTCCTTCCTTCCTTCTTCCTTTTATTTTTGGGATTTCCCTTTTTGTTCCACGTTCTTCTTTCTTTTCCTTTCTTGATCATCAAGGTGTTCTAAGTTAGCGATAACCTTAGCGATGAAAGAAATGGCGATGACAGATCCTTACAATAAAGCAAACAACCACTGAGTTTGGAAATTTTTGATGAACAGCAATTCCGCTGCATTTTGGTATTATATATTTAGTGTTGATTTGAATAAAACACTGTTAAGCGATAGGCCCCCCCCCCCCCGAAAAAAAAAAAACATAATCTATATTTTCGCACCAGGTGTAAATAATTTATTTTGACGGCTCACATATAAACAGGCCAGAGGGTAGACAGATAACCCTGAATCATTTAGGTTTTGGGATCCTTTATCTACACATGTGAAATCCAACTGGAGACTCCAAACTATAACATGTTTTTCCAGCTTCTAATCGCAGTTTAGCCTTCATTTCACCCGGCCATTTTGATTCCCCGAGAGTGGGAGAAAGATCCTCTTCTTGACACGTTTTTGCCCTGGCTGAACAGAATTTAGTGGTACTTCACCATTGGCTACCACAGATCCCTCTCGAATGTATAGGGTCTATGCCAAAGTTTGGAACAACAACTATACTGGTTGGTGGTTTGGAACATTTTTTATTTTCCCCAATAGTTGGGATGGTGATCCAATCTGACTATCTGACTTTCATATTTTTCAGGGGGGTAGGTATACCACCAACCAGTTCAAGTAACTAATTAAGTATGAATCAATGGGATTAAACCATATTAAACCATACTAACCATATATATCCATATAGAGGGTAGGTCAACCACCAACCAGATACGTGTCAAATCAATCCATCAGATACGAATCTTTTTTCGCGAAGGTGGGGCCTGGAGAGGAGGAGGGCGCATGGAAGATCATTGACCCCAACAAAAGATTAAAGGCGCCCGGGGGAGGATTGTTCAACATGGCAGGTTTAACAGTGGTTTATCCAGGACTATAGTGGGATACATAATTCTTAAATAAATATGTATATATATAATATAATATAATATAATATAATATAGTATAATATGTTTTTTTTGCTGGGGTGTTCAGATATTCATGATAAATGGGATCATATGAGGGGATTCGACGAACGAAATTGGCGAAGTAAACAATGACATATGGGGGCATTTTATAGGATATACATATATATTGTACAACTTAATAAGATATTTGGGTTCATCTGAAGCGGGCTATACCAATTGTTATGGCCATTACAAAATGGGAAAAGCTGATGTTTTAGCGGTGAATTTCGGGGTGATAACGAAATTGGGTATTCCACAATGGATACGTGTGAAGTCACTTGGGTCACTTGGGTCACTTGGGTCACTTGGGTTGCCGGGAGAATGGAGGAATCTACGAATCAACCAGCGACATTAAAGATGGAGTCTTTTGTGAAGGTTATGATCTGGCAATGGGAGGGCTGCATTCTAAATCATTCTAAGGAACGGAACGGGGCGGTTTTTATATCATAATTGCAGTTGAAGTGACTTTCACATCTGTCAAAACACATCCGTTCCATTTTTCACGGAGATTTGGATGCGATGGCCGAGTCGGTGAGTTGAGCGCCAGGCCAGAAAGTCCTATGAAGGTCCTTGCAAGGCGCGGTGCAGCCTCCCTGTGCTGACATGGCTTCCATGTTTGGGACCTTCTCACAGCTTAGCTTGGGGAAACTAGATTACTAGATCCTGTGATTGGGGTAATATACCCTCTGGTAATTTAACATAGCTATTGAAAATGACCATTTATAGTGGATTTTCCCATTGAAAATGGTGGATCTTTCCATAGTTATGTCAGTTTACCAGAGGGTACACAATTTCACCATCATTTTCCTGGTGGGCTTGCGCTCCTGGCTCTTTTTTATCTGAGGTCATCAGATATGACGATGGCGGCATCGCCTTCCGGGACCGGTTTTTTGGAGACCTGGGAGAATTCCTATGGGATAAGGAGATCATTCCTGCCATTCCTATTGGGATATCATGGGATTAAAATTGCCAATTTATCCCATCCAATACTGTTGGTGAATTATCATTCCTATGATAATATCCTATAAAATGACATAATATACAATTCCGGATTGGGATAATTTTTATCATTCCTATGGTGAATGCCGATGTCCAAATTTCGAGAGGGGACTCAACACGGATGAAGCCAACAGAGATGCGCAGAGATTTTGAGATGACACACCCAGACCTGGTCATAGTTCAGAACTTGGTGCCATTTTCCAAGTCACTCTTGCACTCAGGTTTGTAAGCCCATTTTGGGACACGTCCATGTTATATTCTGCCCTTAGGGCTCCGTTCGGATGCTCCAGGATTTGGATACTCTCCTCAATGGCACACTGAATGGAGCCGGGTCGGGAGACCTAAAACTGTCCACGCGGGGCGTCGACACATATTGCAGACACACAGACTCAGAGATATCATGAGATATCTACATATGTGATATCAGACATATCATGAATCATGATGTATCAGTCTTCCAGTTGATGATATCATTCTTGCAGTGAGTCCAGTCGAAACCGCAGTGCAACGCTACGGTGTCCCCCGGTGAGGCCGGGCACCATTTCCGGCCGCACGGTGCAGGGCGGCTTGAAGTGGGGCGGGTTCTTTGAGGCTGGGGGCAACGGTACCAACCAAACTGGGCATATGGGGGATATCATGGGGATGTAGTGGGGGATATATGGTGGAACTGAATAGTTATAGGATATTATGGGATAGGGGAAAGAAAACCAACCGCGTGGGATATTTGATGGGATACTGTATCATACTGTATCCAACTTGATTTGATTTTCCCTTCCTGCGAATGGAATGATTATGGACAGTTATACAATGAATTGAAGGTTTGAAACAACGTGCAATGCCAACCTGCAATGCCATTTAGAACGACTTTGATACCCGGCTGAGAAGCGGTAACCTCTTCGCTATGACGTCTTGATCACCTGGCAGGTCAAACTCGAAGAATGATGCCCTGTGAAAGCGAGCGAATTCTCTTGGAGTTGCGCAGTTGGGTCGGTCACAATTGGCTGGTGATTTTGGTCTCAGTTTTTTTGGTTGATTTTCGGACCCCAAAATATGGGATGATTGGGATAATGATCTTAAGATCGATGTTTTTGGGGCCCGGTGGTTCAACAACCAACGGTCAGAGTTTCTTTCGTGGCCGCTGCAGAATCTGTCTTGGTGAAGGGATTTGGTCCAACTGCCCCAAGGAAAGGAATTCCATAATGTTTAGCTGATACTGGTGGCATCTGGAGTGAAACGCCAATGATGCCGTGAAACTGGATGCACATCCAGCAGTTTTCCAGCGAAGGCCTGCTCGCATGCTCCCCTGATGTCACAGACGAATCCACAGGAGTTTTCCGTAGACGAAACAGGCATGCGAAACAGAAGCCGTTTTCCACTAACAAAACACATCTCTGTTTGGGCATGGCTGTAGAGAAAAAGTTCAATCCATCAGGCTTCTGACTTGGTGTTTGGCTTGGTTGAACCTCTAGAGTCTCTAGAGCGCACCTTCCGTGTGACATCAGGGATGGCCCCAAGAGACGCACCAATCGCTGCCGTACCAAAAGAGACCCCGATTTTGGGACGGTTCGATGCCAAAAAAGGCTAATATGGTACCCTCTGGTAAACTAACAGAACTATGAAAAATCACCATTTTAATGGAACAACTCACTATAAATGGGCCATTTTCAATAGCTATGTTAAATTACCAGAGGGTAAACCCACTGTCATACTCCCCAAAATCACCAGAAATGGGTGGGATTTTTACACCATTCCAAATGGTAGGTTTATGGCACTGGGTGAATCCGACATGATTTTTGTGGTTTCTTTGGTGTTTACAAAACGACAGGGGTGTACCCTTAGTGTACCCTTAAAAGACGGAATCAAAATGAATCCCACATCACTTTTGCGGGGAGCCCAGCCTTACTAAGTTAGCAGCAAATAAGCTCCAGGGTGGACTCGGGTGGACATGACATGCTTTTGGTATTGGGCCAACATCTGAGGCTACCTCCAAGGTCCAACTGGGCGTGGCCAATTCACCACTGGAAGGACCCATCGCGGATAGCTGGGTCAATAAAGATCGAGAGTGGGGGATTAGGATGGAATGATCCTGGAAGGTAAATGATGAACTCTTGTGGGTGATAACTGTTGGAACTGCGGATTCACAAAACCTGGTTGATCAACTTTATTAACTAGGGGGCTAGCGGTTTCATTTGCTACTAAAATCGTAATTCCCCAGATAAACAGCCTGGGGGTTTATAAGTTAATTTCCTGATCGGGGTTGGGCTGAAATGATTGGATTATCAGTTGTAACTAAATTTTGATAGCTACATAAATGTTGGTCATATGATAACAGAACAGATTATGGATATCATCCAGTCACGAAGCACAGAACAATCTCCCAGAGTCCATGATGATCATGGCAATTTCAACATCCTCTGCACATGTCATAGCTGGGAAAAGCAGCTACAACAGGGGGATTTTCCATTGCCATTAAACAGCTGCTATTTGGAGGCTTTTTGCCGTGCAAAATTTGAAAAAGACAGACCCAAATTGACCTAGCTGCCTTGTGAAACAGCCATTTTCAAATATTCTCAATGCTGGTTGGCGGTTTCCTTTGATGCAATTTTCATGCAGAAACTTGTATGATGATATGGAATGATTGAGATTCAGCAGGCACCAAGCAGGATGACAACTCCCAGGTAGGCACCGGCGACCATTGCAATCATTGGGCTCAGCAGCCACATTGTTTGCACAGCTGAAATTCTTTGAAATTATGAAGGATTGGACTACTCATCTACAAACGGTTTCTGCACGTGATGTTTTTTCTTTCATCATTCACCAATAAGCTGCTGGCACGGGTTGGCGGCAGAGTAGCCATTGGGCTGATGATAGCTCTAGCTACCAACAGGCAACCTGCAAGGACAATCCGTTCCTGCCAGAGATTTGTATAGCAGTCAGCAGATTCGAACGATCATGCCTTTGGTGATTCGAACGATCTATTTTTCAGCAACACTGAACACATGACCGCACGCTTTCGCTTCGTTTTCCTTGTGGATTGTAGTTAAGCTACCACCAACTCTTGAAGAAACGCTAGGATCCCCATATTTCATTGCATAGTGGTTGCTTCAAGCCGCTCCAGCCGCTTTTTTTGGGGTTACTTCAACCACCAACCTTTGAGAAGCGACCAGCCCCACGCTGAACTGCGAACTTTTCGGCCCGTGCGGTGCCATGAGAGCGTGACCCCATGTCGAGAGCTCATTGCTGTGTCATGTGGAAGCGGATATTGACATGACCTGTATTCATACGTAAAGAAATAGAACACGATTTCCGGGATGGTCGTTCCATGAAGTTTTAAACATTTTTTTTTTGGTTGCTATACACAATATATACATATTATGTGCATTTATGTGCATTTCTTTTGTACAAGAACTAATATACACACGCACACACACACACACGTTTGTACATCAACAACATGTGAGCATTGGCTGCTAAACCCCTGTTGTTCGATTATTGCAGGGGATGAAAAAAGATAAACATGATAATGTGAATCCCTATCTATGAGAATTATCACTATCTATAAAACAATAACTGTTCAACAAAAACCCCGCGGTTTGATTATTGTAGTTTAATTTTTTTAAAGATTATATATATATAATATTATATTCAAAAAAAACACACACTCAGTAGATTGGGCATTCTCGGAATCTTACGATGGCATTGCCCCGCCTTTACGAGGCAATGCTGCGCAGAACGAGGTGACCAACGCGTCACTGAGTCGTCGGTTCCATGGCCTCAGAGGGGAGACCAAAAAACAGGTGTTTTTTTCGTGGTTTTTGGTTGATTTCGACGTGATTTTGTGATTTTCATGTTGAAAAATATGGGGATTTAGGCCTGATTTACTGAAAAATATGGGGATTTAGGCCTGATTTACCATCTGCAAAAAACAAATTGGGGCTTCAACTGGGGAGTTGGATGTTTTAGACACAGAACATGGGGACATTGATTGTATTATACAGGTGAAAAAGGGAGATCAAGCAAGAAGGCGATATCCATGGTTTGTTGAACCATCAGCATACTGGATTGATGTTGGGTAAACAACGCGACTGGGTCAAAAACGAGTGGCCTTGGACTGTCTTTCTGTTCAACGGCTTGAGGCAAGACGTGGAATAGCACAAATCAACAAGATGGTATGCTGATGAAAAACAAAAGCTAAGAGGAATGGTTATTTTCATCAAACTCGAATATACAAGCAGATTAGAGAGTTTCGATCTATTGATTGTGCGTCTTGCCTTCAAAAACCATTGAACGACCATGTCTTTTGGGACAACTGGGGTCGTGACACTTCGAGCACATTTCACTGCAGTTGCAGGAGGTGTTCTTCGTCATCGTCTATTGCTGCAATTCTGTTTTGGGGTTATATATATATGTATATATATGTATATATATATATGTATATATATATGTATACATATATATATATATGTTATATCAGTCCAATATTTTTTAGTTGGTTTGCTCCTATTTGGGACTCTAGGTAGCCAAACCTAAAGCAGTGCCAGTGCTTCACGTCCCAGAATTTCTTTCAAGGCACATTCAGAGAAATTCCCTATTTTCGGACTAAAAACGGAAGGTTTCAACTGGAACACTTCCCTCAAATCCATTCAAGGTTGATCTCCCTATATCTTGCTGACCAAAAAATAGGGCTACCCCCAAATCATCCATTGATGGATTTTCCCTCATAAACCATCCAGCTATTGGGGTACCCCCATTTATCTGGGTAAATTATCACGACCTCACTACGACCTCACTGGAATCATGGTTAGTAAGGGGAATCATTCCCAAATAGCATTATTTCAGGTTAGTGAAATATCATCGAAGGAAGTTTAGAAGTTAAACTTCCGACAATATGGACAGATGAAAAGCAGAGCAGGGAAGAGGCAGAGAGAAGAGAAAGATCAGAAGAAAGAAGAGTAGAAGAGAAAGAGTAAGAAGAAAGAAGATGCAGATGCACGAAAAGGTAGGAAAGTCGCGAAACACTGTGTTTTTCCAGTGAATTGGGGCTCCGGAGGGTCGAAAAGTAGGCTCGCTAAAGTGGCGGGCGCGGAGCCAGCTGGCCAGATGAGAGATGAAAAGTTGCACGCCGTTGTGGCGCGAAGCACATTTGGAAGTCAACATGTTAAAAACACCAGGGGTTCGGACCACTTTTGGAAGTTGCGATGTCGAAAAAGTGCACGCCGTTGTGGCGCGAAGCACATTTCGAAGTCAAAATGCACAAAACACACTGGCGTCGGACCACTTTTGGAAGTTGCGATGTCGAAAAAGTGCACGCCATTGTGGCGCGAAGCATATTTCGAAGTCAAAATGCACAAAACACACCAGCTTCGGACCACTTTTGGCAGTTGAGATGTGGAAAAAGTGCACGCCGTTGTGGCGCGAAGCACATTTCCAAGTCAAAATGTGCAAAACATCACATGTTCGCGCCACTTTTGGAGGTTCGGATGTCGAAAAAGTGCACGCCGTTGTGGCGCGAAGGACATTTCGAAGTAAACATGTTCAAAGCACTAGGGGTTCGGACCACTTTTGGAGGTTCAGATGTCGCTTCGCTTCAATACACTACACTACAGGACATTACACTACACTACACTCCAGTACACTACATTACACTACATTACACTCCAGTACACTCCACTACACTAAATTACACTACACCACACTACATTACACTGAATGACACTGCAACACAGATAGACAGGTAGACAGCTAGACAGATAGGCAGATGAAAGGGAGAGATAGATAGACAGGTAGGTAGATAGATAGATAGATAGGTAATTAGATGAAAGAGAGAGAGAGAGAGGCCAGCTGGGTAGATGAGATAGATAGATAGATAGATAGATAGTTAGATAGATAGATAGACAGATAGATAGGATAGATAGATAGATAGATAGATAGAGATAGATAGATAGATAGAGATAGATAGATAGATAGATAGATAGATAGATAGATAGATGGACAGCCAGACAGATAGAGAAACAGATAGATGGACAGACAGACAGATAGATAAATAGTCAGAGAGATAGCTAGCGAAATAGAAGGCGAGATAGACAGATAGATACATAGACACAAAGACAGATAGTTAGATACCAAGACAAATAGAGAAATAGATGGGTAGAGACATAGACAGATAGACAGATAGACAGATAGACAGATAGAGAGAGAGAGAGAGATAGATATATATATATATATGTGTAGAGAGAGAGAGAGAATTTGATCGATAGATAGACAGATAGACAAATAGATAGAGAGACAGTTAGGTCGATAGATAGATGGAGAGAAAAACTGATAGATAGACAGACATATAGATAGATTGATCGATAGATAAATCGATAGACAAACGTGGGATGCAGCAAGGAGGAGCTACACACTAGCATTGGAATCCTTTTTTTTTTGATACCGCTGTTGCATTCGATGTTGGGATCACGTTTCTTGGAAGCACATCGCGGCGCTTGCTGGAGATCTGCGGTGACAAGCAGTCAAGGGGCATCAAACAATAAATGCAGATTGTTTGAGTCACCAGATTTGTTCGCCACCGTTGGTGTCTCACTGTCGGTTTTCCGACGGCACTACGGTGCCGATAGTTCCTTACACGCTAATGCATCCTTTGGTTTCCTTTGGCCTTTCTCTGACGGCACGAAGACACATCAGCAGCCAGAATTTGTTGCAGGCCAGCGTGTGTGTCTTCTCTGACCGCATGATGGCACATCAGCAGAGATGGACGGAAAAAAAACTAACAGAGAGAAGTAAGTGGGTGGATGAATGGCGGGATAGACAGAAAGATAGACAGTTTAATAGATAGGTGAATAAACAAATCGAACGATAGCTACATGAATAGACCGGTAGATAGGTAGATGGCTAGAGAGGTAGCTCTGTAGATAGATGGCGAAAGAAAGACACAGAGAGAAAGAGAAAAAGAGAGACAGAAAGGCAGAAACACTCAACCACCTTTCAATCCATCAGTGGGTTCGCTCTGCCATTTTTGCGCCACACCAACTCACCTCTCCTATAGGTTTTCCATTTTTGAAACTTCCGCCGCCGCCTTGTGCGGTACTACTGGTAATTTACCCAGATTTATGGACATATTTCAGGCTAGTGAAATATTACCCATATCTGGCAATTTTTGGCAGATCTTCGATCCCCCGGTGATGCCGAAGCCGCTTCACGAGGTGGTGCCCTATACGCCTGGAGGTTTTTGGGATCTTTGGACGTCGTCCTGCCATCGTGGAGCAAGGCGTCAGAACGCAGCCGGGAAGTCCCCTGGAACATCAGTGGAACATATGGGATCTCCTAAAAATGGGAGGTTTAGTATGTTTAGTTCGCTGGGAAAACGATCAAACTAAATGGTGGATTTTCCAGCCTGTGCCACGGAGCTGATGACCGGAGGGTATTGCGAACATCATTTTCCCCATCATTTCATGGCTTCAACATGTGTAAAAA